TTCTCAGATGTGTTTGCTTGGTCATATAAAGAAATGCCCGGACTAGATCCTGACCTAGTCTCCCACTATCTTGATGTGTTCCCAAACTCCAAGCCAATTAAGCAAGCTGCTCGAAAATATCATCCAGATCTCGAAGAGAAGATTAAGGAGGAGATTGAAAAACTTCAACAGGCTGGTTTCATCCGGCCAATACAGTACCCCTCAGGAGTCCGGATTTAAAGCCAGTTACAAGACTAGTTTCAAGTCATCTCGTGGACCTATCGTTGCTGCTGCCTCTGCCCCGGATACCCGAAATTCACAAGGAGGAGGTCATAGAGGCCAGAAAAGAAAGCAATATAATGGTGAAAAGGGGAATGTTTCTTATCCATGTGGAATCGAGGAAGTGAAAGCTCTAGTTAAGGAATGGGTGGCTGACGTTTTTAACTCTTGGGAAAGAACTAATTTCCCTTTCTCCATTATCGACCTTGAGAGTGAAAGTGGGAGATCAATGGGAGAGCCTTGCCATTATTCTATTCTCTAGCCATTTTGCCTTCTTCTTCACCCAATCTCTTATCTCCATCATCTCCTTTGTTGTTGTGTTCCCAAGTTGAGATTATTGAAGAATCTAAGCCTCTCATCATATTCTAGAGAATTCGAAGTTGTTCTTCAAGGATCTTTGAAGATCTTCGAATTTTCCAACTCTTTTCTTGAACCCTCTCCTACAATGGTTATACTTAAAAGATGGTTCTTAGGCCATGTTTAATTAGTAGGATTAATAATTAACAATTCATGAAATTACTGTAGAATTGATTATCCAACTGGACTAATTAATGAGAAAAATTATCGCTTTTTGTACACATTTATTTTGCAATGGATATTGAATTATATAATCCCATGTATATGTTTATTTTGCATTATTAGTATTAGTAGGATTAAAAATTCATCAATTTTATTTAATAAATTCTAATTCGGACAACAAAAATTTGTTATAAAACATTGGAATGTGAGTCTTATAAATTAATCATGGATAAATTATAAATACATTCCTTGATGTTTGCTTAAAATACGAATCGCTTCATGTGAATCTAAAATTACAGTTATTCTATTGTCAGCATTTGTCTTTTAACAAAATTAACACAAAATTAAATTCGTAACTATATTTTTATACAATAATAAAATTATCAAAATTGATAATTAAAATATATTTATGACATCATTAAAAGCTGCTAATTCACTTTATAATTAATTAATGAAATGAGTCCGTTGTTATGCAATTAAAAATTTAAATAGTGGGTTGTAATTTTCAAAATCAAAAGGGACAACTATTTTAAACAAATCTTAAAAATTCATTTTGTATTTTACCCAATAATGATTTCTATATTATTTTATATTGTTATCTATCCAATCAAACACTGTCCCAGTTCATTTGTATGCTTTCAAGTATAAAAATAATGTTTTATTTGCGAATAAGGAGTGAGGTAGAACTACATAAATTGGGAATAAAAATATTATGCATTTTAGTTCAGATTTTGTGACAAAAGACGACGTAAATATGGTCCTTTCCAAGTATAAAAATAATGTTTTATTTCCTCTCCAGTTGGGATACTCAACTGGAGGGTGATATTTGGCCTTCGTGGACCCATCACGAAATCTTCATCGATTATCCGAACCGTTCAATATGTAGAACTCGTCAAATACTTCATCCTTGTAAAACATTATGTTGATCGGATATCGATAATCAATTGATCAAATCACATTTGTATAAATAATTTATTTTGAAAATCATATTTACCGTTGACACAAATGTGATATAATTAAATAGCTATCGATATCCGATCAATGTAATTTTTTACAGGGATGAAATACTCGACGAGACTTACATATTGAATGGTTCGAGTTATCGATACGAGTTCCGTGGTGAGCCAACAGAGGCCCAATAATACTCTCCAATCCAACTTAGACCGAAGGGAAGCTATGGCCTTTCCAAATTATCTATCTTAGGATAACCATCTTATCTTATTCCTGAATTAAACATAGATAAAGAGCAGTAAGGTTGACACTACAGATGAACATTTCTTATTTATTTAACTATTAGTGAAAAATCCGTGTTGTGCATGGTGAGAAATATTTGAAATCATTGAAACACATCATTAGAAAAAATAAAGTTGTATTTCACACTAATAATGAATTGATAAACTATTAACAAACTACAATATGAAATTAAACTAACCATTAACAAATTAAAATATTTGAATTATACCCAGGTGCAATAAATCAATTATATGTAATATATTCTTAAAATGCATATCAGAATTTTTAAATCTTATAAAAGGAAAATAGAGAGAATCATATTAAATTATAACTTTTCCTAATATTTAACTCAGCTGCCCTTGCAAATTTTTCTCAAACTATACTTAGAACAAAGCACATCAATAGTTAAAAATTACATCCTAAATTAAAACCAAAGAAATATTAGATCAAATGAATGTGTTGCCCATAGAAATAATAAAATGTAAAAAATTAATATAAAAATTAAAATTTATCACCCAGAACTGTCTTATAAATCCGCCAATTAGAGAGGCTTTCTAAGAAATATTAACCATGCATAGATGATATATACACCAATATGAGTAAGGGAGATAAGAATATAAATTAAAATAACTTAAATGCATTGCAAAACAAATCTTGTAGGATCATCATATATCCAATAGTGGACTTGCATTGCTAAGTTTTGCGTCACGCTCTATTTTTTATTATTCGAATAATATTATCATATCCATTAATACAAATTCATTTCTATTAAGAACATGCAGAACTATACATACATTAATCCCATAAACAAATAAAATTCCTCTCAATCGTAAATATATGGAATGCAACAGAAATTACATTTAAACAAAATGTCTATAGGCTTGCATCTTTACATTAAAAGTAAGGGTTATCACTTTTTACAACAATGACGTTTTGCCAACAAATATAAGCCCCATGGCAAAAAATTAAGGAAGATTACCGAAATCATTTCTCAACTTGCACCTGAAAAATGATTAACAATGTGGGATGAACATAAAGTCCAGTAGAGATCCCAACATGATCCTAAACAATAACAACGTACAGACATCTATGATCATGAATGCACTATGACGTACAATATAAATAATGTAACAATTTAATATTCAAAATACACTTATATAAGTACATTTTCTCCAAAAACATTTATTTGAACACTACAAAGTGTAAAAGCCATTTGTTTTCTTTTCAATTATCCAATTTTGTTCCAAAAATATTTCTTTACAATGCAGCCTTGGTCATTTAAACCTCCACGTTAATATAAAAGAATTCATCTCCACATTTGTATGGAAAGCAAGGGTTGCAACAAACTCGCTAGCCTCTGATGCTCGACCTTCACTTGTTGACAAGTAAGGCATCTCGACACAAACACGGCTACATCCTTCTTCATCTCCTTCTACCAAAACTGGCGACTAAGGTCATGATACATTTTTGTATCTCCCCAATGCACCGCAAGGCATAAATTGTGAAACTCTCGGAGTACCTTCTCTTGGAAAGACTCCAGCACGAATAAACGGTCAAGATATCTAACACTTGAGTCAGGATACACGTTCAAGCCATTCTCTATCTTCCCACTAGACATCTTCTCCCGGAGGGTTTCTACCTCGTGGTTACTTCTTTGTGCTTCTATAACTCTACTCACTAGTATAGGTTGTGCCACTACCAAACACAAAGCTACCGACTCAACAAACTCGCCAAGGTGCAAGTCAAACTCGCCAACAGTACCCAACATCTCCAGTCCTAAATGGCAATATTTGCCACACTGCTAAAGGACTTTCTACTCAAGGCATCGGCCACTACAATGGCCTTCCTCAGATGATAGTGCAACTCTAAGTCATAGTCCTTCATGAATTGCATCCATCTTTTCTGTCTCAAATTCAAATCTTTCTGTGAAAACAGAAATTTCAAACTCTTATGATTGGAAAAGACCTCAAATCTCTCACCATACAAGTAATGTCTCCAAATCTTCAAGGCAAAGATCACCGCTGCTAACTCTAAATTATGAGGAGGATAGTTTCTCTCATGTGTTTTCAACTGACGTGAGCCATAAGCTACTACCTTCCCCTCATGCATCAAGACACACCCCAAACCATCCCGTGATGCATCACAATACACAGAATAGCCCAAACCCCTCTCCAGAATAATCAACACTGGAGCAGTGGTAAGTCTAATCTTAAGTTTTTGGAATGACCTCTCACAAGTCTCATTCCACACAAACTTAATTCCCTTCCTCGTCAGTCTCTTCAAAGGTGATGCTAGTCTAGAGAAGTCCATCACAAACCGACGGTAATACCCGGCCGACCCAAATAAACTACAAATCTCAAAGGTATTCTTAGGTTGTTCCCAATCTTGCACTGCTTCTATCTTAGAAGAGTCTACAGTCACTCATTCCCTGGATACCACGTGGCCTAAGAACTTAACTTATTTCAACCATAATTCACACTTCCCGAACTTAGTATACAATTTTGTGGGCTCTAAGCAACTCAAACACAACCCATAAGTGTTCCTCGTGTTCCTTCTTAGAGGGTGTTTAAATCAGGATGTCGTCAACATAGACGACTACAAAGCTGTCTAAGAACTCACGGGAAATTTGATTCATCAAATTCATAAACAAGGCCGGTGTGTTGGTTGACCCAAAAGGCATCACTAAGAATTCATAATGGCCATACCATATACGGAATGTCGTTTCCTGGATATCCTCTTCCTTTACTCTCAATTGATGATAACCCAATCTCAAATCTATTTTAGAAAAGCAATAAGACCCCTTCAACTGATCAAACAAGTCGTCTATACGAGGCATTGGGTATTTGTTCTTAACAATTACCAGGTTTAGTTTCCAATAGTCAATACATAGCCACAATGTGCCATTCTTCTTCTTAGCAAAGAGAGTCGATGCTTCCCGAGGTAAAGTACTAGGGCGGATAAAACCATTATCTAGCAATTCTTGGAGTTGAATCTTCAACTCACTCAGCTCGGCGGGTGCAAATCTATACGGTGCCATAGAAATCGGTGTTGTACCAGGCACTAGATCAATAGAGAACTCAATCTCACGGTGAGGTGGCAAACTAGTGAGGTCCTCGAGAAAGACATCCGAGTATTCACAGACTACCCTTGGCGAATCAACTTAGACTTCGTCACACTCACTATCTAAGAAGGTTGCAAGAAGACAACTAAGCTCACTCCGACCTCGTGGATCATACACTGGTGACAAAACTCTATCAGCTTGGTCTCCCAGAAAATAAAAACAATCACCACTTGAGGTACATATAATAACCCTCTGACGCTAACATTCTATAATAGCCTCGATAAACTGACAACCAATCCATGCCCAGGATGGCATCAAAACTCGACATATCAATCAATGTAAATGAAAAAGGAAGTCGGCAACCAGCGAACGGCAACCTCTATATCACAACCCTGACAACCCTGGTCCAAAACAACTTTACCACCAACAGGTGACTCTACCTTGAGTAGAGACATTAATCGAGCCACTTCTAACCCCAATGCCAATGCAAATGCAAATGAGATAAAAGAATGGGAAGCACCCATATCAATCAACACATTGGCAATAGAATTACATAACAAGAAAGTACCTCTCACAATTGAAGGCGTTGGCACTAAGTCTGGCGTTGTAACAGCATACACATACCCCATAGGTCTCTGCTCTACCTGGTCACCCCTCAGAGCATAAGTCTAATGCATTGACTGAGCCGAAGAGGCTCCCTAATTGGCCCTCGAGGCCTATGCTGACTGTGCAAGCTGGTGGCTCTATGTTTGCCTCGAACCAAACGCACTAGGTGTGCCACCTGACTGAGGGCAAAAGCTCCTCACGTGCCCCGACTGCCCACAACAATAACAGGTAGACAGTTGTCCTCTCCCCTGACTTTGGCTCTGAGAATGAGTCGCAGATGGTGCAAACTGTTGCCGTCTTCCTTCTGCGGGCAAGCTGGAGACTTGTGACCCAACTGGCCTTACTTAAAACAAGAGAAACATCTCTTATTACCTCTCATTGAACCTAAACTTGGCACAAGAAAGATGGATCTAGACTATGCAGCCTGGGACTATTGTGGGTGAGAACCCCGCTACCTCTTACTTTCCCAGTTCTCTCCCTGAACCTCCTGACTCATCTGTCTAGAGCCTCTCATCCTCTCCTCCTCAGTCTGAATCACGGTCTCTAAGTGAGTCGCTGCCTCCATAAGACGATTGTAATCCCTAATCATAAACACGACCACCTTGAAAAGGAGTTCGGTCCTCAACCTCTTCTCGAACTCCAAGCAACGACGTTCCTCTGTCCCTACCAACTCTGGTGCAAACCTCGACAAACTAGTAAAGATATCCTCAAATTCGGCCACCAGTGTGTTAAGCTGCTTGAGCTTCAAGAACTGCTCTCTCAACTTCTCTCTAATAGTGGGAGGTAAGAACTTGTCTTTAAAGGTGTTGACAAAGGCCTCCCAAGTCAACCCAATGAGTCCACACGCATATTTTCGCCATTGACCCGTACTTCTCTTCAGTTGGAAGGATGCCAAGGTCACTCTCAGCCCATCGTCCTCGACGTCAAGCATCTCAAACGTCTTCACCATCTGTTCTAGCCACTCATTCGTTTTCAGTGGCTCCTTAGGATCACTCAAAAACTCATCCGAATTTGACCGGAAGAACTCCCTCTTCAAGAATAATGGCCCTGCTTCAACAACTTGGGCCTGGACTTGATTCTCTGCCCTGAGAATATCCATAGATTTCCACAAAGCTCCGGCCATTTCACGGGCTAAAGTGCCTATGGCCTTCTGACCCACTGGTCCGGCCACATTGGCCTGACCAACCCCTTTCTCTTGTGTCGAAATCTCATCTGGTAATAGCACTTCCTGCCATCTAGGCATGCCACGCCTATCACCACGCCTACGTCCTGATATCCTAATGAAGGTAACACAAGAGATTAGCACATTTACAAATATGCTGAAACTAACTCACTCGTATCCTATGGCAATGAACAACAATAATTCACACTACATAAGCACATAGTCACGTTGACACATATAAATTTCCTTCCTAGATAATGATCGTCTCACGACATTGCTAGATTTCTAATTAGAAATAGCAATGATCAAGTGCTATTTTAACAAGGATTCTAGAAACTCGTAGACCTAGTCAATATCTTAGAAATTAAATCTCATACCCATATAATCATATGAGCATGTCATCACATAGCATACCATACATACAAATATCTCTACAAAGTGAGATAAACTCATTGTGGTAAGAACCACTTCTCACATATCTAAAGTGTTTAAACCCGGTACCCTTTGATACCAAGATACAACGCCTCGAAAATAAATACAATAACCCAACCACAATATTAATAAGTAACAATAATGATAAAGTAATCATCTTTCATTAGTTTCCAAGTAAGTCTACAAAGAGTAACATATGCAGATATACATTCACAAGCCTATCCCTGAATCTATAGCATATGTTACATAATGGAATGAACATCAAGCAAATAAAAAATGCTCTAAAGGCTTACAACTTTCCAAAACGATACTTGGTTACAACAAAAGTGGATTTATATCCAACACAGTTGAAGGCCCTTGGCCTATACAAAACACATACAATCATCAAACAAAATGAAGCTCTTGCCCCAAGTCCTACAAAGCTATTGCCTTGGCGGAGATATATCATCAGCACCTGAAAATGTTTTTCCCACATAGGGTGAATCAAAGCCTAATAGAAATAATCCAACACAGTATATGAATCTTAACGAAGATATAAGGTGATATGCATATGCAATGCTAGTGACAAAATTTTTTATATCTTTTTCAAATCATGCAATGACAGGTTTATATCACAGTTCATAAAACATTCTCTTTTTAATGGAAAACAAGGCAGTGAATGATATGTCTGGGAATCTCCAAAACAAGTATCACATTTCACGAAAATTTTTTCTGCGGAAAATCGTAAACCAGCACCCATGTAAACATCGGCTACACAAGCATTACTACTGCCATTTTACGGATACTTCGTCCGTGGGATCGGCACCCATGTATACACGTGGTTTTTGGGACTTTCATCCTGGACACACAGACCAACTTATTTGATGTAACAACAACTCATTTCCAGATTCACCCCTTTTCTCAACACAATACTTTTTCCAGGAAATAAATATACAATTGTGCTCAATGCAAATGGATGAGAAATTAGTTTTCAATTCTCCTAATTCCCATGCAATTTCTACAACAAGCATAGCTATCTTCCACCGATAGCCCAAAACATGCATTTCTAAATAGGTAAACAATTTTCAATATAGATAAACTTTCCAAATTTATTTATTAAAAAAAATGTCATTACATTTCAAACAATATACAAGTTAACCAGTACAAATAAGTTTGTATGATGACTTTACCCTTGAAATGGTCCGTTTGCAAATGAAACATCTTTGATTTTCCTTATTTGGAATAAGATTTAAAATTTAGGATGAAATGTATTACAATTGAAAAGTCAAGCACCAAAGTGACACAAGCTTTAAACTATAAGAACTGTTAGTGTAATTCGCTCTCATAAGAAATATAACTTTTACAACAAAAATTATAATTGTCATTCATAACTTTTGGAATGCACATCATAATTTCCCCTCTCAATAACTAAAAAGTATGGCACACTTGAATCCAATTGGGGTTCGTGGTGTGGAGGGACTGGATCGGAAAAAAAGTGATTCTAATTGTAAGATATTGTAATTGATATCTTATTCAAAGATAAAAATATCACTTTTTCAATTGAGATGAAATAATGCTTTGAATCAAATAATGAGAAACGCAAGAAAAATTACTATATCCTCTATTCAAAGGAGAGCCATTCATGACTTTTAATCGTAACTTCTATTACGAAAAGTTGTAACTTTCATCACAAAACTATAACTTTTCTTACGATGTGCACATTTTAAGGGGTGCACATTGTATTATTTTCCTACATTTGTACCAAAAATTCTTTCTCCATTTTTAATTGTGATAGTTAAGTCTTTATACATTAAGTCATGTTACAATGTTAGCCTTTCGTCCATCTACCATTAATGAGCCTAATGGAAATTGTCATGTGCACCATATGTGACATTTTTCTTGCCTTGTTGGCATCGCTACAGTTTTGCTAAATTATCATTTTAGTCTTTGCACATTTATCAAAATCTTACTTTCCTTCACCTTTAATTTATGTCAGCTTCATTAATAGTAGATTGACGAAAGAGTAACATTAGAATTTGGCTTAAAGTGTAAAAGACTAACTATTATAATTCAAAGTGAAAGGGAGCAAAATGATATTCTGATGAAAATATAGTTATGCTGAAAGTAATTAACTCACATAATTATTGTACATGCGGGTCATTGTGCTATTTTCATTTTAAAATAGATAACATAGTTTATAAATATAACAATCCACATCATTCTAAACTGACTCCAACACAATACTCTATTTTGAAGAGACCACTAAAAGAAAAGAGAAGAATGTGACCATCGGGTTTCTTCAATGAACCCCGCCATGTGTCTTTCTTTCATAGTGTGGTCGGTTCTCCCGTGGTAAGCTCCTTGACTAGTAGTTTCACCAGGACTATAAAATTTTGTATAAAAATTCTAATTGCTATAGTATTTTCCATTTTTTTAAAGGTACAAATATGAACCTTATTTGATCTTATTGTTTTGGCTCTTATTACTGTCTTGCATTATTGTATGCTAGTGCATGCATATATGCAGCTGAAGAGTGAAGATAGTGGAGAGACAAGTGGCAGCCATGCTTAACTAAAAACAAGTAAATGAACCTCCTTTAATTATGGTTTTATCTTCATTAATAATGAAAATGAATTTGTTCACACATATTAAATTGTGTGAATAATACACAAATTGTGATTAGTTTAAAATAGTAGAACCTATAATTTTGGTTGGGGTCAGTAGACTTTTAGATATAGAACCCGCTATTCTGAACCAATCACAATCTATATATTGTTTACAAACTTTGAAAGTATGTGAACAAAATCAAACTCATTAATAATTAATCATCTCTACAAAGGTAATTTTGTCAAATATTACCTATATATTTTGTCCAAATCTAGTACTGTACTCACTAATAATATCCGGACTTATTTGATTAGTATGATTAATAGTGAGAAGATTAACAATTTATAAGATTAATGTAGAATTTATTATCCAGTTAAATTAGTGAGATATCACCACAACAAAACTAACTATTCACGGCATCATGTTTACGACATGCATTAAATGCATGTCGTAGTTAGTACATTCTACGGTATTTTTTTTTGCAAGCCGTTAATATTTTGTCAATAACGGCATACATACCATGTAAGTCGTTGATTCATATATTTATAGCATGCAAAAGTATGCCGTAAAAAACGTATGTTTTTACGACTTACAAAAATATGTCGTAAAATATTTGCACTTAAGACGACATACATTTAATGTTATAAAATATTATAACTTTACACGGCATGCATTAACATGTCGTGAAAACTTTTGCAAAAAAAAAAAAAAAATTCAATCCGGAATTTTTTTATGGCATGCAAAAGCATGCTGTAAAAAATATATATTTTCACGGCATACAAAAATATGTCATAAAATATTTGTACTTAAGATGACATACATTTCATGTCGTAAAATATTATAACTTTACACGACATACATTAGCATGAAAACTTTTATTAAAGAAAATTTCAATTCAATTTTTTTTTTTGTGATTTAAAAAAGCTAACAATTTCCAATCACGCTTCTCACTTTAAATTTTCCTAATTGAGGAAAATGTAAAAAATAATTTATACATTATTTTATAATTTAGTGTCTCTTTTAAGGGATAATTGCGCCCTGTGGGATTTTGGGAAAAAAATTACATATTCATGAAAAAGTTTATAATTTTCAAAATTAATATTTATATGGCTTCTCACTAATTTGTAATTTTTTTTAAAAAAATTACCTTGATTTGATATTTTCCCTTCTTTTAATAATTTATTTATTTTTTACTCTTTAGATGTGCCTAATCTGAATACAATTAAAAAATAAAATATAATATAATATATATGAAATGTATTAGATTTTATATATTTTTTTTGAATTTAGTGATTTTTTAAAAAAATTAAAAAATATTTTTCTTTTAAGTATATGTAAATTATTTGAATTTAAAAAGTAAAAAAAAAAATTATTGAAAAAAAATTTATTGAATTTTTTTCAATTCCTAAACAAATTACTTTTTTTAAAAAAAATTAATTCACCAGAAAAGCTAAAAGCTCTTGGATTATAAGTTTACTTTTAAAACTTGCGAGACAGTCAGCCTCCTGCGAGCTCTCGAGCTCTCTTCGAGCATTGCCTTGATCGATCGCGCGATTTCGCATGGCCTCACAATGTATGTCATTCACTTTCTTTCCCAATCGATCAATTTTTCTCTGTTTCTCGATCATTTTTTCCCAAAAGCTTCGAATTCATCATTTTATTTGAAGTTAGGGTTTGGTGAGAGCCATGGAAATGTAGACTACGAAGCCAAATGCATTCTCAATCAATTGATCTCAAACCCTAACTGATCTCTATACGCTCTTCTGTATCGAACGATTCAGTGAGTTTGAAACTCGTCATACTTCGTATTTTTTCTTGTGTGCGTGTTTACTGGATCAATTGAAGTTTGTATTGATAATTTGGTTTTTTTGGAGGTCTGGCAGATCACTAGACAAGTCGATTTCAACGCTTCAGATGGAGCTGGCTGCTACTCGAAGTTCTGAAGAGATGTGAAGATCTGATGAGTTCACTCACATCTCTGAATTGACTCATGAGGGCTTGCCAAGGAAGAAGGCTTTCATAGTTATTGGAATTAATACTGCTTTTAGTAGTAGGAAGAGGCGCGATTCGGTCAGACAAACTTGGATGGCTCAAGGTGATAATTTGATATTGTCCTTGTGTATGTCCTACTATATCTTAATTTCATGGCTTTCCCTGACTAGCTTTTTGGGTTTGATTAGGAGAGAGACTTCTTCAATTGGAACAAGAGAAGGGAATTAACGTCCAGTTCATGATCGGCCATAGGTAAATCTCTTGTCTGCATTTTCTCACAAGTTGGTTAGTTTAATACCAGAAGTGAAGTAGTATTAATTAAATATGCTGGATTGTTTAAGATAGATAAGTTTTTAGTTCTGCCAACCAAGGGCTTGAGTAAGCTCTGTAAATGCAGGAATTTGAAGAACTATCAATTGACTGGTCCTATCCCTTCAACATTAACACAGATTCCCAACCTCAAAACTCTGTGAGTCATAATTTTTTTATTTTTTAGTGGAGTCCATGCAGTTAACATTACCATATGTTTTTTTGATTTTATTTACACCAAAGCCATAGACACTTGTGCTAATATATATGTATGCCTTGTCTTTGTGTAAATTTATTCTGTAGGGACCTTGCTCGTAACCAGCTTATTGGTGAGATACCGAGGTTAATCTATTGGAATGAAGTATTACAATATCTGTAAGTGCTACATCAATTAGGGTTTAACAACTGATAGATAAAATCCAATTTCATTATCAACCCTTGATGCTATTAACACTTAAACATTTAATTTGGTTTATAATTTTACTCTGGACAAACTATTGGTCTATCTATCATCTGGTGGTAATTATGTTCAATTGTTTTGATGTAGGTCATGCTATGTGGCTAGCAATCATTGTGGATGAATCTCTTATTGTCAATCTTAAAGGTCTAAACAGAAATTCAGGAGTAAAATCAGTTCCAGTGCAATTTTTTGGTACCCATGATTTTGCAAGGTGTGAAGTTTCGAAAGTTGAAGGGAATTTTTTGTTAGACTTGTTTATTAAAAAGTAAATAATACACTCAAATGCATCTCTCCCTGTGAGGTTAACATCTCTTTATTTTTTGTGATTATTTAGGATTAATATGAAACAAGTTATCTCATTTCTTAGAGGACTTCTCTCTTCTTTCCATCTGAAATGCAAGAAATCGCATTTTGTACAAAGCTTGGAAGAAGCAAAAATGTGAGCTTATTTATTGAGAGTTCATTCTACTCTTGTTGACATGGGAAATTATGTTCATTAAGCCTTTTCTTTTCTTTTCTTTCTTCCTTTCTTTCTTTTCTCTTTAGTACAAATATCTCTTAATTATTATGCATGACATTGGCATGCTTGGCCATGTTGCTGTATTTAACTCATTATCATATATATTTTTATCCAGGCACAAACATATGTCATTCATGCCTTGTATTTCTTCAGGTGTAACTTGGGGCACCTTTTATGTCTTTACTTCTTGTTAGACAGATCCTGTGTGACTGAAATTTTAACGATTTGTACAGAAGTGTGTAGACATGTGGAGTCAAGTGTCTGTGATTTGGTTATATCCACCCATGAAATGGTTGGACTCAGTGAGTTGTTTTCTAGGTCCAAAGTTTGTGTGACCTTCTAATTTAGGGCATTTAGGCCTCAAGAGTGAAAAAAGTTGCAGACGTTGGTTTCTCTACCTGTTTCTTTATATAATTTTTTTAGCTATGTTTAGCGCATTATATAACTATGCTTATGTAACTATTCTTCCTCGCTGACTTCCTGCCCATGTCCCCATCCCTGTATCTCTTTCCTTACCTTACTTTGGGTTTGCCTTGGATTTCTCATCTGAAGCACTCCCATTACCTGTTGTCTGAAGCACTCCCATTACCTGTTGTCTTTGTAATGTAGCTTGTTCTTCATGGTTACAGTCGTAATAAAAAATATGGAATGGATTATAACCTGGTTGCGGGCCCAGTTCACTGGTTCAACTGCAAGGGCTGAGTTACTTGGCCAAATGAAGATCATCAAAATATAAACTATGTTTTCAGAAAATATGAAGGAGACAAATTCATTTGTTACCAGCTTATTTGCGTGGTTTTCTTTCTACTTAAACATTTCCGGCATAAAGAAGAGTAAGGTATCCATTCCTTTTATTAGGTATCTCAGTGAACAGAAGCTTCCAAAAAGAATGTTAAAGATGCAAAATGCTGTTGAAGCTGATGATTGTGAGAGTGGAAGTCGAGAGGATGAAAAGGGTGCTGATTCAGGTGAAGATTGCAGAGGAGACGAAAGGATACATAGCAAGCTAGAGGGCACCAAAACTTGCCCATTTGAGATAGGGGATTTACAAATGATAAGTCTTGGTATGTATTATTAAACTACTGTTGCCTTAAAATATGAGACATTGTATTTACATGCTGTAACATGCAAAGCAAGAATGTGATGACTAGGTTATCATTGATGAGAGTTTGTTTTTACCTGCATTTTTTTTTTTTTTTGTTCTTGATTTATTTGACAGCTTCGACAAGGAAATTATACATCTTGGGCTACTGTAAATTTTGCTAATAATTGTTCAAATGCATATAAGAAATGGTAGTGTTACTTATTTAATTGATGAGTTAGGACTAATTCCATTCAAACTCATGTGCATATAAATCTCATACAGGAAAGATTGTGAAGGACTCAGAGTATTTTCAGGATGGGAGATTTATCTGGCCTGAAGGATATACTGCTGTGAGGAAGTTTCCTTCAATAGCAGGTGGATCATTTCTTGAAGGATTCTCTGTTTTTGTAAATTGCAGTTCTGCCATTGCTTGTACTCAATTTATTTTCCTCATCCCGAGTGTTCCCATAACATTCATTTCTGTTTGTTTTCCAATTTGGGGCTTTAGATCCAAGTGTATATACCTTGTACAAGATGGAAGTCCTGAAATGCAATGATGCGGGCCCAAAGACTCGGCCTTTATTTAGAGTTACGCTGGATAATGGAAAGCAGGTATGATGAAATGCAATGATGTGAACCTAAACTAAATTTGTGGTCACTTAGATTATCTTTACATTTTTGTGTGGTTTGTGGTTTCGCTTTACTTTTAATCGCAAGTTAATCTTCTATTAATTACTGGCCATATAGATTTTGCTACTGAGGCAGAATATCTTTTGCATATGGCTACATGACTACATGACTACATGCCTTTCTTCTATTAATTTAATTCATGACTACATGTTCTAAAAACTAAGAAATTAATTATTTTTCTATGCTACAGAAAGCTGAAAGTGACAGTAATTAATAATTTGCTTTCATGGCTTCCATAATTGCTAGCCTAATTTAGGATGTCTATGAAATGGATTCTTGCTCCCAATTGACCAATACAAAAATACTTTTTAAAATTTAAGTGTTGAGCTTGATGTGGTCTTGTTGCCTTGTTATTTTGGTATACCTTTACTTTCTTACTCTACATCTATTATTTGAATTTCTCATTTTACTGAAACTATATTTATACTTACAAATGTACTCATTGCTTCTGTTTAAATGCTAGTTTCATATGCAATGCTCATATTTTCATACTAGTCTTCATATGGCATGTTCTATTGCTTGCGGAAGTGGAGGCCATAATTAAGGAATGCGGTGCCATGATCATTTATTTGATGTTATGTCTTATGCACATGAAACCCAGTTATGACATCAAAATTTAAACAGTGAAAGTGATCCTTGAATTTATCGTTGTTCTGTTATTAAAAAAAAAAAATGTTAATCGCTAAACCTAGTTTGAGCTCACACTTGACCTCTTGATGTGTTTCAATGTGGACATTGATCAATCTTAAAATGGCTGCTTATGCATAAAGCCAACAAAACCCATGTTTTAGGCTCCCAAATTGGAAGGTTCCCAAAATTTTAAAGTCTACATGCTATTGTTAAGCCCTATATAGATTACAGTTTCAACATCTTTTTATTTTTTGGAAAAGAAGGCCCTCTTGATTTGTAAAGTTGTATGTATTGATGTTTGATTTGAAATTTGTGGTTTTTTGAATTTTATATTGGCCATACCATTTGTAATCTAATATGTAAAGTTGAATTCTTTTTGTTTTTGTATTTGTCGAGTAATAATAGGGGCAAAATGGCTTCTTGTTGTGTTATCTGCAGCAAGTGAAGATGGTGATGATGATGATAATTCGGTGACAGAGACTTGAGATGCCGACACCATGGTGTCTGATAAACAAGAAAGCTGATTGTTACAGCTAAGTGATAAGTGTTGCATTGCCAACAGTCGTGAAGGATGGTGATCATAATCATCTCTGGGCACTATTGGATCCCAAAACTTGTACTTGGACAGTTCTTTCATAGTGTAGATCATGCGATTTAAAACTCAGGATAAATGCATAATCAGATGGGAAAAGTTTGCCATCTTTCATAGTGTAGATCATGTTGATAAATGAATCTTATGATTTGGATACTTTTTTTGATTTGTATATTTGAGGTTGTTATCAACTTGATATGATAGAAGTTGAGGATAAAAGTTAGTATGCAAGTTATTTAGTATATGGATATTAGATTTTTTTGCTTACTTCATAGTTGCTACCTCTGCTTGGTTTGTAACAGGTTACATTTTATAAACCACTGTCTACATACGATTAGACAAGGTCATATTCCTATATATATATATATATTATATTAAAAATAACTTTCTACGGCATGTAAAATTATGTCGTGAAAAGTGTAATGATTTATGGCATGTCAGAAAATGTCGTAAAAGATTATATACGGTATACAAAGTACGTCATAAATATATTAAAATGACCTTCTACGGTATACAAAATTATGTCGTGAAAAGTGATGATTTATGACATGCAAGAAAATGTTGTAAAATATTATATACGGCATGCAAAGTATGCCATTAATTTTTTAAAAATAACCTTCTACGGCATGCAAAATTATGCCACAGAAAGTATGATGATTTATGGCATGAAAAAAATGTCGTAAAAAGTTATATACGACATACAAAGTATGTCATTAATGTTTAATTTATTACTTTTTACAACTTTATTTGCATGCCGTAAATGATGCTCAACTTTCCACGGCATGTCATCTAACGGCATTTGTGTGCATGTCGTGAAAGAGTTTTTACGGCATGCATTGGAAGTCGTAAAAATTCAATTTTGTTGTAGTGTATACAATTCTTTCTTGTACATGTTTGTTTTGCAATATATATAGAAACATATAATTTTAATTATATGTATGCTTTGTGTTATTAGTTATAGCATTAAAAAATATGTCAATTTTATTAAATAGAATGATCACTAAAATATAATATGAATAATAAAATTTAAAACCAAAACAATACGACGTAATTAACCCACCTCAGTGTCCTACAAACAAGCGCTCATTTTCGTTTGTCATGTTCGATTGGACTAAGCATAAAACCACCTTATTGTTCCACATGAAACTTATCTTCTGTTTGTAACTATGTAATTTGTTAGGTTCGTAAAGGGTTTATTCTGTTAAAAATTGAGATTAAGTAGGTTTTGCAAGTTTTAACAATGTGATCATTTATTATTAAATAAATAAATAAATAAAAGGGATAAATTAAACTTTCACCCTTGAATTTTTACTCAAATTTCACTTTAGTCTATCATTTTCTAATTGCAATTAAGTTGAAATTTTAATCACTTTCACCCTTCTATCACTCTTCTGTTTGAAATTTTAATCAAAGTTGAAAGTAATGAACCAAAGTAAAATTTTGATGGAAGTTTGAGAGAGAAAATTTTAATTTGTTATACAAATATTTTCTCTAATTAATACCCATATAATGTGTTCATGTGAGTATTTTTCACCTATAAATTTAATGGCAAGTGACGAGAGAGGATCACATTAAAATATTAGTCGAATTTTAAGGACTTAATTGCTACAATTAAAAGATGGCTCTTAGGCCATTTTCATTAGTAGGATTAATAGTGAAATAATTAACAATCTATGCAATTACTGTAGAATTGATTATCCAACTAGACTAATGAGAAAAATTATCGCTTTTTGTCCACATTTATTTTGCAATGGATATAAAAATATATAATTCCAATTATATATTTATTTTGCATTATTAGTAGTAGGATTAAAAATTCGACAATTTTATTTGATAAAATCTAATTCGGACAACAAAAAATTATAATAAAACATCGGAATGTGAGTCTCATAAATTAATCATGGGTAAATTATAAATACATTTCTTGATATTTGCTTAAAATACAAATCGCCTTTTGTGAATCTAGAATTGCAATTATTCTATTGTCAGCATTTGTCTTTTAACAAAATCAACACAAAATTAAATTTGTAACTATCCTTCTATACAATAATAAAATTATCAAAATTGGTAATTAAAATATATTTATGATATCATTAAAAACTACTAATTGACTTAATAATTAATTAATCAAATGAGTCCGCTGTTATGCAATTAAAAATTTAAAATAACAGGATATAATTTTCAAAACTAAAAGAAACAACTAATATTTTAAATAAATCTTAAAAAATTTATTTTGCATTTTACCCATTAATGACTTTTATATAATTTTATATTATAATCTATTTAATCAAACACGGTCCTAGTTCACTTGTATGCTCTCAAGTATAAAAATAATGTTTTATTTGCGAATAAGGAGTGAGATAGGACTACATAAATTGGGAACAAAAATATTATGCATTTTAGTTCAGATTTTGTGACAAAGGATGACGTAAATATGGCACTTTCGTCCGGGATATGAAGGATAACCATCTTTATTGAAAATAAATAAAATGCCCTCACTGGAATAAGGTATTCTCAAATTATCTATCTTAGGATAACCATCTTATCTTATTCGTGAATTAAGCATAGATAAAGAGCAGTAAGGTTGCTGATGAACATTTCTTATTTATTTAACTATTAGTAAAAAAATTGTATTTCACTGAAATATTTGAAATCACTGAAACACGTCATTAGAAAAAATGAAGTTGTATTTCACACTAATAATGAATTGATAAATTATTAACAAACTACAATATGAAATTAAACTAACCATTAACAAATTAAAATATTTGAATTATACCCAGGTGCAATAAATCAATTATATGTAAAATCTTTTAAAAGGAAAAGAGAGAAAATCATATTATAACCTTTTTTAATATTTAACTCAACTGCCCTTGCAAACTTTTCTCAAACTATACTTAGAAAGCATATCAATAGTTAAAAATTACATCCTAAATTAAAACCAAAGAAATATTAGATAAAATAAATGCGTTGCACATAGAAATAATAAAATGTAAAAAATTAATATAAAAATTAAAATTTATCACCCACGACTTTGTCTTATAAATCTGCAAAATAGAGACACTTTATTAGAAATATTAACCATGCATAGATGATATATACACCAATATTACTGAGGAAGATAAGAATATAAATTAAAAATAACTTAAATGCATTGCAAAACAAATCTTGTAGGATCATCACATGTCCGATAGTGGACTTGCATTGCTAAGTTTTGTGTCATGCCCTGCTTTTTATTACCCAAGTAATATTACCATAGCCATTAATATAAATCCATTTCCATTAAGAACACGCAGAACTATACATACATTATCTCCATAAACAAATAAAAGTCCTCTCAATCGTACATATATGGAATGTAATAGAAATTACATTTAAAAAAACTGCCCGTAAGCTTACATCTTTACATTGAGAGTAAGAGTTTAACCCTTTTTACAACAATAACGTTCCGCCAACAAGTATAGGCTCCGTGGCCGAAGATTACCAAACTTGAATCATCTCTCAACTAGCACTTGAAAAATGATTAGCAACGTAGGATGAATATAAGGTCCAATAGAGATCCCATCATGATCCCGTAACACTCCACTTTTTATTACTCGAATAACATTACTAAATCATTATTATTGTCAATTTCAGAGATAGCGGACAAAAATTTCAATATCTTAATAACGATAAGTAAATGAAGATTCTCTCATCCATGTACCAAGTAATGCAACATGTGACATAATTACAACAAATTGCTCGCAAGCTTACATCATTAGATAAAAGAGAAAGGGTTAAACCCTTTTACAACAATGGCATTCAGCCAACAAATAAAAGGCCTCGTGGCCAACAGATAATGAAGATCCTCAATCTTGAGCCACTTCTTGATATTCACTTGAAAAAGAATTTGTAACATGGGATGAACATAAAGTCCAGTAGGGATCCCAACATGATCATAAACAATAACAACATATAGATAGCTATGATCATAAATGCTTAAAGTCATATTATATACATAAGTGCCGATTTATACTTGAAGAGATACTTACATAGGTACTTTTCTCAAAATCATTCAATTGATTCGACAACACAAACCATTTGTTTTTCTTTCTTCTTGCTACCCTATTGTTTTAAACTTGCCAGACAATAATAGGTATTTGAAAACAAACCCACGAAATCCAATTACTTTTCCTCCAATTACCGAACTTACACCCCATTCCAAATAGCAACATCCCAAACGAACACGATGACGATACAAACAAAATGCTCCTTACATAACCATATAAGACATCTGATATCCTCTACAAAATAATCATCACTATGCATGATACACATAAATAAAACCAAAATGACAACAGAAAAAAAAAAAAAAAACTCAACAACGCTCTACCTGCCTCAAGCATGGAAAGCCAATGATACACCTTTCTAATACTCACGCCAATTTACCAGACACCCGCTGGAAGCGCTAGCTGGAAGGTACTGGCACTTCCACATTCTCAGCGCAACTAATTCTCCAAGCGCTAGCTGGAAGGTAATGGTACCCCTTATTCTCAGCATATGTACATTTCCAATCATAACATATTTGAACAAATATAAATAACCTGAGTGTACTACATACATATAATCGATTCAACAACACATTGTCATCCTCCACCGATGACCAAGGACAAAACCTCTAAGCATAGTTATTTAAACACGTGTAATACAATAATCCAATGCTCACTTGACCTTAAGTCCAACAACAATGATAATAACAATATTCCAAAGTTTCAAATTTCAACCCCAAGTGTTTTTTTTTTTTCCTCTAAATTTACAATACACCATGATTTCTTTCTCTTTTCAAAAATCAGTTCTTTTAAATTTCCAAGTTAGCAAGCCCAAATCTTTTCCTTCCAAAACCAATTTTCCACATTCCATGGAAATCAAGCCATAACCCAACTCCACTTATGTGATGTAACACCCTTAAAATAATACAAATAATCCAACTCATAAGAGAAATGAATATAACATAATTGGTACGCTTTCACATAATAGAGTTCGTATTACAAAAGGGATTACATGCATTATACATTCATAAACGTTCATTCTGAATCTACAGCATATAATGCAAATTAATAACAACAAATTTAAATGCCCTACGGGCTTACATCTTTCCAAGACATATCTTTGTTACA